TAAACAAGAGACAAAAATACATTATATTAGGCAGGGGGCTATTTTGCCTGAATGCAACTTTGTGCTTATGCAGTTTTTTAGTGCTGATGTGTATCAGGGGGTTTATAAAAATCTTAGGGTAGCACAGCAAGACAAAACGCATTAGTTGATCATTTCTATTTGCCAAAGGCTACAGTAATGACATAGAGTGGAACCATTTTTGAGATTTTTGTAGAGACATTAGCCACATTTATATTACCCTTTTGAAACCGTGCCAAGAACGGTCCGAGCACGGTAACCAAGATAACTGTTGAGTGTAAATGGAACGCAACTGAACTGGACCGTGCCAGACCCGAATGAACCGCTTTGAGCCCTACTTTTGAACTAGTACTAGATTCAGTTGTGGCTCTGTTCTCAGATAACAAAGAGCGCATGAGCAGACTGCATCATCTCCTATTTATAGTCAACCGACTCATTCAGTGGGTTTTCCGGCATGTCCCACTTTGCAATCTGCAGATCTCTTCACCTGTTCATAAAGCAAACTTCTTCTCAGCTTATTGACAACAAATAGCAGCAGAAGAGTGTGGTGAGACCTGGGAAAATGCCAAGACCGAGGCTCTCATTGAAATTTGGAGGGAGGACTCTATCTGTATAGGACCCTGTAGTTCGTGAATGTTATGGGCGCCGCCATTTTTGTTTTGCGTAATTCCCGCATTGAGAGCTGTAGTATGGTGGACTAGAGGCAAGGAACCATAGTAGCCTGATGTGTAAATGGTCATAAAGCACAAAGCTTGGCACAGTTAAGTGATCCAAGCTAGGTCTGAACTCGGCAAAGATCGGTTTCAGAGAAGTAGTGTAAATGGGGCAAGGGTTAAATATATAGTCTCTACATGAGGAATTCATCAGCAAAGGAAAAAACAAAACAAACATAAAATCATAATTGTAAAAAAAAAAAAGATGTAATATTTATACACAGAATAAAAAGAAATGAAGAAGTTCTCCATAAAGTGAAGAACATCATGGTTAGACCTGAGCATCCTCCCTCTTAGACTATAACAGTCTATTCAGTCCGAGGCTTCTTCAGGCTTGCTTAAAGACAGACCACTAGAGGAGATCCCTCTTTACTACAGCAATCAAAATGTACAACTTGTTGAAGAAACCCACCATGAAGGTTACAATAACATTTCCTTTTGACATTAATAAAGTATTATTTTAATTAAATTGAATAAACATACAGCACTTTTACAAGACAAAAACAATGCAAGCTGCCTAAACTAAACCAACAGAACAAATGTTTTATTTACAGCAATTATTCTTTCCAAAGAGAAAACACTTTTTCATCTGATGTTCATAATTTCTACTGATTTTCTTTCACTTGAAGAGAAATATAGCAGCAGCAGTTTCTGCTGTCAAGAAGAAGTCTATATGTTTACTCTTCCAGTTTAGCACACAAAAAGGCACGCCTGTCATTAGAGATGTTGTTTTTGACAACCAAATCCCAGATGTGCATTAAGAAATTACTCCCAGCTTCTGTTTGTTCTTTTGGATCACATTCTCAAAACATCAGCCATTTATTAAATGTGAACGCAGACGGAGATCTTCGGATGAGTGGAAGATGTTGACGCTCTTTAAAATATTATATGCAAATGTGACTGCCAAAATCCTCTAAGTAATTTATCTGATTTATTCGACTGTGGAAAAATATATTTCAGAGTACAGTATTTTTACCTCTTACTTTGTCTTTAACAATTTACCCATTGCAGTAATTGCATATAATCTAGTTTCATTATTCAGAGTAGGGTTTGCAATTTTGCCAAAAAAAAATGCAATATTTTTTAAACATAACTGCAATTTTATTTCGACATTCCTCTTTTCCGGGCCTTGGATGCTTTGTTGTTCAGAATAGATTGTCGCAGGACTTTTTTGTTGCGTGGAGAAGTGTTTACTTCTATTCCACATTCATTCATTTTAAAAGCTTTTTTTAAAATGCTATTAAATCACAAATGCAATTAATTTTTTAAACTTAAATCGGATGTAATTATTGGTGCATTTGACTTTGAAAGTTTTTGTCATCATAGTTTTTAGTCTTTACCTGACATTAACAGCAATGTGTGACAATGAGGCATGGGATGTAGAAAGCTAATGAGCCACAGAAATGTCCTCCAACATGGAACCGTTTAAAATCATTTAAATGGGTCCACACTGGTTGATTTTTAAGTTGCCCTTTTCTAAAACAAGAGAGCCTTGAAAAAGCAACAAAAACCATGGAAATATGTGTCATATTTTGTCATGTTTGACATTAATGCTTTTTTTTTTATGATATACAATGCAAATATATGCATAATCATAAACATGGAATCAGGCTGACCCGCATACAAGTTCTTACTTTGACTGCACTAATCTCAACATTAAATTGCACTTTGATCCAAACTATTACTTTTTAGACAATTATTTTGGTTTGTTTCATGATGAAATCCCAGCCTCAAGACTTTTACTGCTTCTCTGTGGGTTTTTCTTCTAAACCTGCCCCCCAACTGCACCACCCAGATGCAATGTAGAGTATAGGTTACTCTAATCTGCTTCCCTGTGCTTATTATAATAGGCATTCCTACAGCATGGCACTGCCAACAACACATATAGCACCATTTACCCTTCCTTTTAGAAACCGTGCCAAGATCGGTCTGAGAACGGTAACCGACATAACTCATGAGTGTAAATGGCATGCAAAACTGAACCAGACCACGCTAGACACAACCGAACCGCGCTACACTTGTACTAGTTCATCAATAGGGCTCGGAACGGTTCAGTTCAGGCTCAGTTCTCAAATAACAAAGAGCGCATGAGCAGGCCGCATCATCTCCTTACAGTGAGAATCCGTAATCATGAAATTTCAGACATTCATAAAAATACTAGCTTCCCTACCGTGCCACACGATTTCCAGTGTTGAATACCATAGATCAACACTAGGAGGCGAGGAACCATGCTAGTGTGGTGTAAACAGTCCTAAGGAACCAAGCTCAGCACGGTTAACTGATCCAAGCTCGGTCTTAACTTTGCACGGATCACTTTTCAGAGGGTAGTGTAAATGGGACCTATGCAATCATCTGTCCTTTAATAAATGCAGCAGAAATATTTGAGTGTGAACCTCCACTTAGTCCTTTTTAAACACATACAACTTCATATGTCAAATGTTAAAATAGTAATAATATGAGTGGTTGAACAGGTTGGGAATACATTCACTGAAATTCTTTTAAATAAAGATGGTGTGTTTTCTCTAATGGTGATGTGTGGTATCAGTTTGCTTACTGATATATGGGTCAGAATGTAAAATTTGGTCTCATCTGTCCAGATCAACTATTTGCACATCATGTTTGCTGAATTCCCTGCATGACTTGATAAAACTCCAAGTTCCACTCTTTCATAAAGTGAGGTGGATAACTAAGAGTTGTCGTGCCAATAAATTCTACTACTGAAGATTTGAATCTCTGCAGCTACTGCAGTATAATAATGAACCTCTTGGATGAATCCCTGATTTCCTCTTTCCTGCTTTTCAATTGAGGTGAATTGCCATGTCTTGGTTTACTGTTGTGATATAGTCTTTCTATTTTCTGATGAAGATTAGAGCAGTGCTGTGAAAAGTTAGAGGCATTGAAATTTTATTTTCTTTCCTGCAGAGAACTTCCCCCAACATCTAACAGTAGACAAAATTGCACACAGGTTATTTGTACTTACTAATTAGGTGACATTGGAGGTGTAAGAGATTGATACGCTGAGGTTAGTGATGAATATGCTTGCAATGCTGCTTTGTCATTTGCCATATATATATATATATATATATATATATATATATATATATATATATATATATATATATATATATATATAATTTTCACTTTTAAAGTTGCTATTAAATCTCCACCTTAACTGTGACTCTATAATGTGGTTGGATCTTGGTTCAACATATTTTTATCAGCTGAGCAATCATTTCTCTTACCTGCTCTTCCCACATTATGTCCACTCAATAGTGATCTCTATTCTCTCAGCATCCGACTCCCACACTGTCTTTCTCTTCTTCTTCTCTACCCCATCTCCCTTGCCCACTGACACATGCACATTTGCTAAATATTGCTGTGAAACTGCCAACTCCTCACATTTACTATCGAGCCTGAAAAAAAACCAGATGAATAACGGCAGACAAAGGGGAATGGCAGGTGATACGATGCAGGAGCAATTGATCAGGCCTTTCCAAATCCATTTACTGCTTCTTGGTGGTGGGAGCATCAAAGGGTGTCACTGTGTGCATTTGTGAAATGTATTTATCAAGACAGCCAATCTAAGTATAAGTAGAAGAACTGGAATAAATCTTTTAAAAAAGCAACAGAAAGTAAGCCCAGTATTCTGCATTGTAGGTAACTTGAGAGGTGTTTGATGTTCAATCATTTCTGCAACGTGCCATAATTGGACAATGGATGGGATAGATGAAGGGTGCTGATGGCAGAGGGAAAATAAGGGGTGGTGGTGGTGAAAGAAAAGCACCAAGGGGGAAGTGTGGGCCCCCTACCCTGAACTTGAACTTCTAGCTGGTGGCTGCTGAGGGGGGGTTGGAGAGGAGAGAACAGGGTCAAGCACCACGAAGGGAAGAAAAGGAAAGACCCAGCTGAGTGACACTGGTGTCTCCCTGCTAGAAGACAGTTGGAGGATGGGGGAAGGTTTGGTTTGGCTTCACAAGCAGGTCCAGCAGTTACTATAGTCTGACTCCTTCTACATAGTTTTATCACAAGACTTAAAGTGCAGTCTCAGATCTGTCTTTTTCTGCCTTTCAAGATTTGCTCTAGAAACAGTTTCATTTAGACTATTGTGGGGTCGCTGTCTTGAGGACCATGAACACTGATTAACATTGGTTTATTTGGGTTTCATATTTTACAATAGCTCTAAAAGTAGAAGTATAAAGATTGACAGAATAAATGAGAAATTTGCACAGTTGAGTGTTTAAATAGGTCAAACTGGCTGGACAGTCCTACCTTCGTCTGGAGATAGTGGGGGTAGTAGTAGGTGTAGTGGGGGTACATTGGCTGCTGCTCCAAACGTTTTCCCATGTAGATAGAATCCAACTGAAGGTGCTGAAGGATGGAGATAGTAGCTCACAGGTTCGGTATGGTCACTTCCAACCACTGGCCTGGATCCTTTAGGGGGGGTGTTCGGAGAGTGGATTTTTTTTCTTGCTGTTAGCGTTTTAGATGCAAAGCATACGGGATGGACAGGAGGATGGACTGTGCATGGGATTTCAGTCTGACCGGATCTTGCAAGGAACTGTCTTTTGGGGGGTTTGGATTGCGTAAAGCCAGGGTAGCAGAAAAGGATAATTTAGGGAGACAGATGTGTGGGGTTAGAAAAGCAAAATTCAGAAGGATAGTGGTCAAAGAAAGAAAAAAAAGGGAAAACTAAAGCTTAGGACTAAAAGGGGGTAAAAGGAGCGGGAAGAGGGGGATGTGGAATTAATGGTTGCGCTCTGCTTGCCTCTTTTTGACACTATGTGATTTAGAAATTAGAATCACTCCTCTTCTCCGGTGCCCTGAACATGCCTTTCAATTTTTTCCTCCAATGTCTCTCTTTCTCTTGTTCTGTCTGTTGTTCTGTTTTATCCAGTCCTTTTCCCCTCTTAAATCAAAGGAGAAGTCTGATCCCAACGGGAGCCCAGCTGTATCCTGAAGAACACACGGCGTCCTTCTTGGTCTATCCTCAAGACACAGGAATCAGCGATGAACTTGCACATGGATGTTGAACCGGAGAGAGAGAACAGGAGGAGGAGAGGAGAGGGTGGTCTGGATCTGAAGCTGTGACTGTTTTTTTTCCCTCACTCCCTCCCTCTTTTGTTAAGCTCCAAGGATAGATAGGTAGATATCGCTGGAGTCTTGCAGGGAGGATGAGCAAAGAGGGGGAAAAAATCCTTGGTGAAAGGCTGATATCCAGACGCACTCTCACAAAAAAGGAAAATCCCCTCTGATTCACAAGGTGCCCCTCCAACTCTTTTCTCTCTTCTTCTCGGCGATCTTCTCTTTCTTCTCAGGCTCTTTCCCTGACGGTTTGCTTCCCACTGAGCCTGGCAGCCGTCACTGTGTCTGAGTGTGTGAGTAGTGCTGGTGGAGGCAGCGGCGGTGGTGCTGTATGTGTGTGACTGTGGATGTAACTGAGAGGGAGCGTGTTTGTGTGTCTGCTGGCGTCTGCTCCGCTCTGTGTGCGGAGGCATAGAGGGGCTCGGCCTCGCCACAGCTACGCTCCTCCCTCAATCCCTCTCTTCCTCTCCCGTTGTGTCTTTCTCTCTGTGTTCATCATGGAACTATTGGAAGGTGGGAGTGGTCGGTCCTGCCCTTCCTTCAAGTTTTTGTGAGTGTGTTTTCTCTCAAAACAGGCTGAAAAAGACACACACGGACTGTCCAGCTGGGGAAGCAGATGTGGGAGAAAGAATGTAGAGTTGGAGATGAGCCGGTTGAGAAGGTAAAACATAGACATAGTAACTTAGAAACAGACAGAGACCCCCTACTGGCACTCAGTAGGCGCAGCAACACCTAGACATTTTTTGAAGATGTTTTGTATACTTTAAAGGCTTTACTCAAGTATGATCTCAGATATTTATAATCAGATAAAATGCAAACAACAGCACTTCATTCATATGCCTAATAAATGTCTACAGCAAGAAGACGGTGCAGAGTTAAGTGGCTATGTGGCACAGTGACCCACTGACACACTGCTGCCAGTTACATGATGTAACCAAGTTTAAGTAGCGCTCTTACATAAGCGCAGTGAGCCATGCATAAAAAAGGTTCCTCTGCCCTCTGACTACAGCAGTGTGTGTGTTGAGTGTGAGGAGGATTGGCAAACAATGCAAGCTCACTGCAGAGGAATAAGGGCACAGGAACAGAATACAAAAATGAAACCCTTTTCCAACATAAGGGCTTCTTTTCTACAGGTAATTTACACTCTTGCAGCCCAGGGATCACCCTCTTTCCAAAATTGAGCTCTTGTAGGGTTTTTCTTTTGTGGTAGCACAGTTTCAATTGGTTTTGAGAAAATACCATATAGGAATTTCCCTTGATCTTTTCTTTTTAGATTATAACTGGTTGGGGGATTGTATTGACAGATATATTACCTAATGAGGCTGCAAGCAGTTTTAATGTTCTAGATTAGTCGTATTAACTTCCATGATGATAATACATTTCTTTAGACCCTAGTTTTATGTGGTATAAGATTATAAATTATATTCAATGATTTTTAGGTCAATACAGTACTTGCTGCACATTGATGCCCTTTTCACAAACTTGGCTTTATAACTAGAGAGGATCAGCTGTGTTGCAGAATAGGTCATGTGATCTACAGCTCTCCCTTATAGCAGTCCAAGCTTTCCATCAACACGCAGGCGAGGTAAGCTTAAAGCTGCTGTTATGCAGCAAAAAAGATGACCGTACCTGATCAGGCATATTGTGGTTTTCTGATGTTGGACTTAATCTAGAGGGGTGATATGCAGTGCATTAGAAAGTATTATTACACCTTTTAACTTTGCAAGTGTTTGGTAAAACATCTTTTAATCAGTTTCAACCGGGTCCTCCCAGTACAGAGAGTTATAGTGTTCCAAATAGTAACATCTAAGTGAGTTAAGTAATTTAACTGCACTGATTGTTTGCACACACAAAAGGTCTGCACATGACTCTGGAAAAGTAGTGATACCAGATGGACTGAGATTGATTTTTATGTCTGGATTGTTTGCCCTGTCAAAGCAACATGGCTAGGGTTATATTAATATGTAACACTCATGTGCATTATAGTAAGGCTGAAAGATACAAGCTTCCCCTTTAAGATTTTGCTCCAGATATGAGGAAAACGTACGGTTATAGGCAGGTCTGAAGAAAGGCCTTCATTTTTTTTTTTTTTTTTTTGTCCATCATGTTGTTAAGTCATCATTTATCATGAACCAGCTTCAAATGAGAATTTTACTATTTTACATTTAAACAGACTTTGGTATGTTATAGTAGTAAAATGGTATAGATTTCTAAAGAAAATGAAACAAATTCAAATCTATCATGTTCAAAAACAGTTGTTTAGGGCTGAAAGAAATGAAATAAAACTTCTTTATGGACAGTCTTCTTGCCATGTCCTAAAGCTCTTGATATCTCTTGTGCTTTTACAGCTTCAATTAAACAGCAAGTATGTCTTCACATGAAAAGATGTTGTTGTTTGAAATAGCTTCTTACCTCAATGTGCTTGATCTTGCATTCAAAACTCTATTTTAAACTTTGATTTTTCAGCAACTGCATTTACACTGAATCATTGTGTCGGCAGATTGACCTGGTAGAGCCAAAAGCTTGGTTTATACTTGACATGTTCGCCAGGTCCACACGGCCAAGTTAGGTCATTTTGGGCTTCCACTTCCCTCTGTGCAAACCAAATTTGAAAACAGAACACCTAGGAAAATCTGTTAATACATGGACAGATCCGTGTTGTGGTGATGTCAGCTTGCTCTTTCTGGCGAACACGCCTCCCCTCCCTCCAAAGCCAGCCAGAACAGAGGGTAAGCCGCACAAAGAATAAATGCTGCATACACTGTGACAGGCGCCTCATTTTCTGCACAGAATTTCTGTGCACCAAGCATAATGAGCTCTTAAGAGATGTATGGACAATCATTTGTAAAAGACTGCATTCCTGCTCTTCTGATCGGCCAGTAACCCGATTGGACTGAAAGTGTTTCCATTTCTCATGATAAGCTGCAAAACATACCCGTGGTTTTGCTTTCCTTATTTTAACTTCAACTGGTAAAAAAAATGCTGAAGTACAGAAACATTTACAGACCCGCACTGGATTACATTAAGTTTATTACTGCTAAATACTTGCCATTTTTTGGTAATCCAATTAGTATTTTTTCTTATGGAAAAATTCCAGTATGTATTTAATCATGAAAGGCTTTTAATGAGTGCCGTTTTGAAACTAACTGATTGAAATCTAGGAGTGGTTGATGCAGATGAAAATCACAAATGAAATGAATTAAATTCATGGTACAGCTCCCAGCGTGCTAAAAACCAAAATGAATAATGCCTTTCTAATTTTGACTGGTGAGTAAACATTATGATCACACTTTTCAAGATTAAGTATTTTGTCCTAATTGAGATTTCACTAGATTGACATGATCTTTTTTGTCCTCCTTGTTTTCTCTATGCACTGATGTGTGAAGTCAAGGCAGCTATTAGCTTCTGCCATTGCACAACAGCAGCATTGTGCCTGCAGGCAACCCCAGAGAGAGTATTATAGTTTGCTTATATATTCTTTGCTTTTATCTGCCTTGCCTTGTTAATCTTTTGATGAGTCTGGTTAATTTTATTCTGTCTCCAGTATTGTATTTATAACATTCCGCATTTACTTTTTCACAATATTTTTAGTTATTCGCCACCTTTAACATCTATGTTGATTTTAATTTTCTTCTGACAGTCTTTAAATGCAGTGTTTTGAAATGTCTGAATCTGATACAAATATCCCTAAATAACATCATTCCTCCAAGGAGGAAATTAGTCATCAGGCAAAGAAAATCAGGCAAAGCAAAACACTAAGAATAGGCCTGAAAAGGAGTCAGTGACTTACTAAGTCAACAACTGCGTGCAGCTGTAGTGGTCAGGCTGAAGCCATCACCTGATAAGAAGTTAAGTTGAGCATAAATACATGACATCAAGTGTGGCCTCATGCATACAAGCAGGTTGCTGTGTTGTCACGCAAATGCATCAAGTAATAGGCAGCTTTGATCTGAGAACAGCTGCATTATAAATACTACAGAAATAATGCCAACAGTGGGTGACTGAGAAAAACTGGAAAACTGTGTAGAAAGTGCACCTTTGAGCTACAAGATCAGCATATCCACTACTGTACTCTTAACATGCTTTCAGTTAGTAAGTATGATTTATGGATGTGTTAGGGCCAAAACACTCTGGACAAGATCTCACGTCCAACCCGGTGGATTGTCAAAAATGCGGCAATTATATCTCATTGACATGAGATGGGCTGGTCAGACCACACACAATCCTCTGCAACTATGTGAAGAAAATTATGGACAACAGTGAGTATCCTCTTTAGAAGATTTTTAAACAACACCAGAGCATATCAGGGAAGAGGCTTCTCCAGATCCGGTGAAAGGCAGACCACTACGGAAGATCCTTCCTGCCAACAGCTAACACCTACATAACCGGTTTAAAAAATAACTTATGAGTTGCTGCAACATTTAATTTCCATCAGTGATTAATAAAGTATTTTTGAATTGAATTGGAATTAAATAGGTAGCAATTACAAGAATGTCATGAGTCTGACATGAGGTGACACACAAGGTGACGAAGTAAAACTCAACCACTTACTGGAAAATACAAAGTCATATCTCAGAATTTCAGGTAAACCAGCCAGGTTCTTGTCGTCTGGTAACACGGTGCATATAGAGCAAGCAGGGCAGACTCAGCAATACAGAATCAATAAGACATTTCAATAAACAGGGTTCTCTATCTGTGATTACAGAAGGCTAACTGCATAATAATCTATATGTCATACATGTGTTTCTATTTTATTTATTCTTTTATATCTAAACATGCCAATTGATGCAAGGGAAGTTGAGAAATCATTCTTATAGCAATGTTTAAGTATTCTAAGTATTTTCAAATAATCTCTTTTTAATCTTTAAAACATAGTTTAAATACATGGAGACTAAAGTTCAATACATTAAACTAACTACAGAAGCTTAAATTCGGTGTAAAATTTTGAAAACATGCAGGAAAGATTTCAATTATACAGGTGCTGGTCATAAAATTAGAATATCATGAAAAAGTAGATTGATTTCAGTAATTCCATTTAAAAAGTGAAACTTGTATATTATATTCATACATTACATACAAACTCATATATTTCAGATGTTTATTTTGTTTAATTTTGATGATTACAAATGACAACAAATGAAAATCTCAAATTCATCATATCAGAAAATTAGAATATTACTGAAGACCAATAAAAACAAAGGATTTATAGAAATGTTGGCCAACTGAAAAGTATGAACATGAAAAGTATGAGCATGTACAGCACTCAGTATTTAGTTGGGCCTCCTTTGGCCTGTATTACTGCAGCAATGCGGCGTGGCATGGAGTCGATCAGTCTGTGGCACTGCTCAGGTGTTATGATAGCCCAGGTTGCTCTAATAGTGGCTTTTAGCTCTTCTGAATTGTTGGGTCTGGTGTAT